TGTCACTCGAGTTTCAACGTCCCAAAACCATGATTTGATTATAAGAGACGCCGTAGTGGAGAGCTCCAGAAATTTCGACCGTGTGGTGTTTTTTGGAGTGCTCATTTATTGCGCAGTACATGTGCCTCTACTACATTGCCCTCATCGTAATGCGACCGCCACGGCCGGTATCGAACCCGTCATCTTTCAGCCAGAGCCAAGCACCGCAACCTCAACACCTCCGTGGCGGACTGTACAAGATGAAAAGATTGATATATAAAAATACCGCCACGCTGCATGGTGCATTCAAGAAGAAGAAGAAGCGTTTAAAAAGCGCTCGAGGAGTTCTTGGGCATGCTTTTCCTTGCTATCTCTCAAGTATTTTCTGAAATCCTTGTAAATGAATGCGTTATATTGTTGCAGTCTTGGTTGGAGTGCGGGATACGTCACCCTGGATCAACCCGTGCAGGGTGACAGGCTGACGGCATGGTAGCAGCAATATCTGTAACACCGGCAATTATTGTAACGTTGTGAATTCAGCTTCAAAAACTAAAAAAACAACAACAACAATAAATGAGAGGTACTGCATAGAGTTCGTTTTTTAATGTAACGCCACCAGGATCGCCGGTGTATTATGCGTATTGAAGTCACGGACGAAAGTAAGTGGTGCCGAGAAACATATGGATGAACGAACTTGATGGGTGAATTGATGAATGAATGGACAGCTGGCTGAATATATGGACGTAACTCTAATTTCACAGGATTGTTTTACGATATTTATAAATTGTATTTTATAAAGTCCTACATTGAAGTCCTACATTGAAGTTTCCCTGATTCTCTAAAATTATGGCCCTTCGTTGCTTGCTTTGCGCGAATCGCCACCTGTTCGTAGGGCCTTGTCAGCAGTGCCAGTTTTAAAGATCATAGTGGAGCACATCTGGCAAGCACTCTCAAGTCATGACAGGTAGATTAACACTATCCCTCAAGAAGAAGGTATATAACAGCTGTGTCCTGCCGGCACTTAGCTACGGAGCAGAAACATGGAGACTTACAAAGAGGGTTCAGCTTAAATTGAGGACGACGCAGTGAGAAATTATGGAAAGAAAAATGGTAGGTGCAACCTTAAAAGACAAAAAGAGAGCAGAGTGGATTAGAGAACAAACGGGGGTTAAGGATATAATAGTTGAAATCAAGAAGAGGAAATGGACATGGGCCGGGCATGTAGCGCGTAGGCAGGACAATCGCTAGTAATTAAGGGTAACTAACTGGATTCTCAGAGAAGGCAAGAGGGTTAGGGGGAGACTGAAGGTTAGGTGGGCAGATGAGATTAAAAATTTTGCGGGTATAAATTGGCAGCAGCAAGCACAGGACCGGATTAATTGGCGGAACTGGGAGAGGACTTTGTCCTGCAGTGTACGTAGTCAGGCTTATGATGATAATGATTATGATGATGATGTGTTTCTTGAGATACTTGAACGAAGAAATTTTGGTCCGTCCATCCGTCTGTCTGTCTGTCTGTCTGTCTGTATGTCTGTCTGTCTGTCTGTCTGTCTGTCTGTCTGTCTGTCTGTCTGTCTGTCTGTCTGTTTGTCTGTCTGTCTGTCTGTCTGTCTGTCTGTGTGACCATTCATTCAGCTACCTGGCTGAAGTCTAAGCACTTGCTGAACTCTCAGCCATCTTGAAATGGTGGCTGCGTTCATATTCGTAAAAATTGTCAAGAAAGAAGCAACTATTACGCATATCTGGGGCACATTATCAATACACAAGTATTTGGTGGTGCGTTCTTTCACTAGAGAATACATAGCTACGTTATTCTGAAAACTGTGTTCATTAGGGTTCACTAAAGATGCGAGGCTATGCACAAAGGAAGGCCAGCCGAAGACCATCGCCTTTCAACATTTCCAGCGAAGTACGCCCATAGAAGGGCAATAGCTCCTTAAGGCGGCACCACAGAACACCTACCGTTCAAATGCGAAAACATTTGAACGAGCCAACATGAACACAATGAGAAAGAATGTGTCGGTCGCCAGAGGCTCAAAATATTTACAGCGAAACGAAACAGTCCGAAACACCTCCGAACGTACCGCGAGCCGTTATCTGCCATCGCAACCGTTGGCCGCCGCAAACATTGAAAGAGGATGATGATGTCGATAGGCTGCTACTGACATCGAGTCAGCTGGAGCAGAAACTATTACAAAAAGTTGATGACGCCGCACATGTTTAAGAAAAACTACTTGCTAGAAAAACAAAAATGTTTTTTATGTGTAGCGGTACGCAAACATGTAGTATTTGATCATTTTAAAATAAAACTTGGCCCGACGAAGGCGCCTCTACAAGAAAGTGCAATAACGCGATTGGCGAGAAAGGTCAGTAGATCCACTCTGGGTGTTTGAAGCGGAAACGCGCCGCGGTTGATTTTTTCGCCCCCTACAGGTGAGCACTTGAACTTGAGAGTTTCCGGGGCCTGGCGGCACCCGTTCGTCCCTCCTAGTATTTGTGGTCGTAGTGTGTAACCAGTCTTACGTTTTGACCTGCAAGGTGGTGCCGGTGGGAGATTTGTCCTGTGCGTTGTTGAACACTGAAAATTTGCAGCGTGCTCGTCAGCTAAAAGCCGAGTTTTCCTGTCTCTCATTCCCCATTAGCAGCCATTGGCATGTACATTGAGCACTTTATGACAAGAAAGGGTTGGTATACGTTATAATCGCTGGGCGTCACATCCTTGGTTTTAAAAAGGTTTAGCGAGCGTTGAGCCGCAGTGCCATGAATACAGTGAACAGGTATATATCATGAACTCTAGGTGGTTAAAGGAGGGAAGTAGATACGAAGCGCAAGGCGTAAGAAAAGTAAAAGCCCATTGGCATGTACATTGAGCACTATCTGACAAGAAAGGGTTGCTACGTTTTACTCGCTTGGCGTAACCTCCTAGGTTTTATGAAGGCTTAGCGAGCGTATGGCCGCAGTGCCGTGAATACCATGAACTAGTATATACCATGAACTAGTATATACCAGCTAGCCAGCCAGCCAGCCAGTCTGCCCGTCCACCTGCGACTTTTAGCTCTCCTGTCCGTTTCGATATTGGTATCGATGCCAAACTTGATTTGGCATAACATGACTGTATGAAGAACATATTTGATTAGGTCATAATACAAAATCACGACATGTATGTCATGAATGTCTTGATTCTAGATTTCATGGTCCTGCAGCTCTTGCGGTGATTTCATTCTTATGGCATGTTGCAAAACTGGTATGGTATGACATGATTGCATGGCGAACAAATGCGACAGACCTGATATGAAATATCAGGACATGCGTGTCATGTACAACATGACTACATGCCACGCTCATGATGCACTCGCTGGCCGTTTCGCTAGCGTCACATATACAAAGTTTGGTATGATGATACGTGAATGGATGACAAAGCTATGTCTGTGGTGCAAACATGATAATCACGTGATGCGTGTCATGTAAAAACATGACTACATGCCACGCTCATGATGCACTCATGGCCGTTTCGCGAGCTTCACTCATACCAAATTTGGTATTACGAGACGCGAACGGACGACATAGCTAAATTACACATCCTAAACATGATAATCATGACATGCTTGTCATGACACAACATGATTACATGCCACATTGATGATGCGCTCGTGGGCGTTTCGCTAGCTTCGCATATGCCAAATTTGGTATTACGTGACGCCAATGAATGACGAAGGCCTGTGACTGGTGCAAACATATAATCATGAGATGCGTGTTATGTGAGAACATGAATACATGCCACAGTCAAGGCGCCAATACATTTCGACATGACGTGGTGCGTGTGCTCGCGGCGTCCATTTCACCGCGTTATGCCGGTGTTGCCACGCCTGGCGCCGGTCCTGCCATATACTCGCAGGTGCGCACCGCACTGCGTTGCTTTGACGCATGCGCGTTTCAGCGCGTCCAGCGTCCCTCCATCACGAAAAGAGGAAGACGCAGTGTCGTCTGGGTAGCGCAGCGGCGCGAAATGCAGCATGTCGCAATTCGCACAGGTCGCCGTCAGGCCACTTTGACAGGTACTTGACGCGCCGGTCATGCCTGGCGTCAAGCTATAGAGTGCTCGCGTTTTGCTAACGTAGCGTCGCTGTGCCCAGCGTGCCCGTGCGTCAACGCTACATTATTGGGCCCTTCATGATGCACTCACGGCCGTTTTGCTAGGTCTCTATATACCAAATTTGGTGTTAAGTGACGTCAATGGATCATGAAAGTATATGACTGGGGCAAACATGATAATCCTGACACGCGTGTCATGTAAGAACATGACGACGTACCACGTTCATAGTGTGCTCGTGGCCGTTTCGCCAGCTCCACCTATATTAAATTTTGTATCACCTGACATGAATAGATGATGAAGGTAAATGACACATCCAAATGTGATAATAATGACACGGAAGTCATGTACGGCATCATTTACCTCAACCTTGTAACGTTGTGCTGATTTCATAATGACATATCAACCTTTCGCATTCGTGCTTCGCATATCGTCGATTCGCACTGTACGTGGGATCTGCGAATTTTTTCCTGTACTTTCACTCCACTAATGGCCATGACGCTGAACACGAAGTATTGTTTGGGCCACACCAGTCCCAAAATATTGCATCTCAAGTTGTAATATCTTGACATTGACGTTTGTTTTTTAATATACAAACGGCTGTGAACCCTAGTACGTTCGTCATTTCATGGCACCAATTTAATGTGCATGAGGTGGTAGTCGTGGCTTTAAAAAAAGGGGGGAAGAGGGTTGAAATGAAACTTGAAGGTAGTGACCAGGTTTGGCGATAGCAGATGATATAGTGGAGTATTGTAGGCGTTGTGAAGCGTCTTATCTACTTGCAATTTCGATTCTGAAGAGCGTTGTTGACCTCTCGAGCACAAAGGCAGCTACAGTTTTCGATTAGAGTGTTTTATTGTTTTCTGTGGACCGAGGCGAAGTTATAAGGGCGGCGGCGCGGCACGCATCGCAAGCCTTTGTCTCCTGGCAGGATCTCCCCTTGGGGCTTACCGACATGAGGTTTTCCGGCATAATCGTTGCGCTCTGCTGCCTTTCTGTTGGAAGTGTCAACGCACGCGGTAAGCAGATTATTATCCCTTATAACAAGTACTGCAAGTATGTTTCAGAAAAAGTGAATAGGAATAATTCATTCCCAGAGAATACGCTCGGCAATTCGCTAAAGACATAAAAGACAAAGTGAATCTTGGTCATGCCCTAGTACAAATAATCAATACAAATATAGTATCGAGAAAAACTGCGACAGGTAGGCATAATTCATTACACAAAGCTGTCTGTAGTTTTCCAGGAAAAGTACATGGTGGCTACGTAACAGCAATAGTGTCACGATGCTAAGCATGAGGGCGAAGGCTCAATATCCCGCGAGAGCGCGTATTGATGCCAAGGCCTTTGCCAGATATAAGGTATTTGAAGAATCGCCGTTTTTCTTCAGTGAGTTCGTGGGGAATGTTGTGAATGATTTTCTTTCTCGGTTAAGTTCAACGCCGCTTTGCAGCTTCACAACAGGCAAGTAAGGACCAATGAAAAATCCTTGATAGAGTTGTCATTAGAACCGACATTTCGATAAGGGTTTTTTATTAAAGGCACCTACTTCAAGAATACAAGATAACACTTTGGCTTTAACAACACGGTAACATCTCATGTTGAGAGATTTTTTATTTCGTCAAGCCTCATTTTCTCCTAAACTTCCTGCATGCTTGAAGTTGGGAGAGAGTGACTCGTTTTTAAGAAAGCAATTAGTGTATTTGTTGGACATCTACGTTTCAAAACTATACAGTATCATAAGAGATGCCGTAATGGAGGTCTCCAAAAATGTCGACCGACTGAAGTTCTTTAACGTGCACCTATCAGCTTGACTAAGCGTGTAGTCACGCAATATTGTCGACTCGTAACTTGTATCAGCAGTTCCATTCTGCATACCCAAAAGTTTATGCAAGGTGTCGCCCACTGGAATGCTCTGTTCACCACTCTCAAAATATTCGCCACGTATATGGTAGCTGTGCGCTTACAGCGGTTACCGTCGCGTTGTTCTTAATCCGGAGATGGCCACGCTATTTACTAATTGCAGCCAATGATGCTTAGATACTGCATGTGCATGTTTTGGGGCTCTTAATTATTCTGGGTTCATTATAGTCATCAAACGTACAATGATTAGTTTCTTCGTGCTGCTTGATTGTTTCGATGTTTGGTGGGTTGATTCTAACGCAGCAGTGAGAAAGGAAAGGTGTGGCGTTAGTACCGATCTTATCGGCGGTGAGCCGTTGGTAGCTGTGACAAAAAAAACCAAAAACAAACAGGACAGTTATGAGAGTGTTACATTTTGGAGGTCGCTCAGATGCTCGGTGTTTACGCAGTTCGTTCCAAATAGTCACGATTTCTTAGACACGCGGTTACTGGCATGACACCAGTGGAAATACGCGTGACAGCGGTAGCACATACTGCTTGAACAACATCAGATGCATGACAATTTTTTTTATGTCGTTTTACTAGTACCAGCATTATAATGAATTGAATAAGCGAGAGATTGTGACGAAAAATGCGGGTAATTCCTTAAGTTTCTGTACGGTCACCTAAAACTCGGGGTGATATTGAAACGGCCGCTTAACCACTATGACATCATCTATTTGGAGGCCTGGTATGAGTTAGAGTGGGACACAGAAGAGAGAGAGTGAGAATAAAATGAGGAAAAGGCAGGGAGGCTAACCAGAAATTCGATCATCTGGTCTGCTACTCTGCGAAGGGGAAGCAAGGCGGGAAAGAAGGCGGAAATCAAAATAGACGCACGAAAAGGAAAAAAAAGTGAGCAGGGGTGCTAAAGCCTATTCTATAGGCCACAATCACGCAAAAAGTTCAATAAAGCCTTCAGTGATTTTTTGCTGCGAAGACAGATCATGTCGCCTTTCAAGCACTGTCTGTTCTGACAGGGGTCTGTCGTCAAGGCGAGCTAACGTAGCAGCTAGCTGCCGTCTTTGCACGCTGTAGCGAGGGCAGTGACAGAGGACGTGCTCTATCGCTTCATTGCAACCGCAATAATTGCAAGCAGCATAGAAATTGTATCATTCAGTGTAGAAAAAAATGCGAGGTATTTTTGCCATCGTGGCATCGGCCTGCTTCAGGGACAACGCTCGAGTGCACACTGCGAGTATCATTAAAGTGTATGCAAAAGTCTGCGGCTTTTAGGATGTCCAGTTCTCACGCCTCATTGCTCAGCCTTAGTGCCCAGTGGCTGCTACAAGCTTTCAAAGTTGAAGAAACATCTCTTCAGGAAAAAAGATAGATGGTGGTGAGGTGAAATAAGTAGTTTGTGCCAGTTTTAAAGACAAAAGTTGATTAACTATGTGGGGTTTAACGTGTAAAAACCACCATATAGTTACGAGAGATGCCGTAGTGGAAGCTCCAGAAATTTCGACCACTTGGGGTTCTTTAACGTGCAGTCAAAAATGAGCACACGGGCGTACAACATTTGCACCTCCATCAGAAATGCAGCCGCCGCAGCCTGGATTCGATCCCGCGACCTGCAGGCCAGCACTCGTGTACCTTAGCCGCTAGACTACGGCGGCGGTTAAAGACAAAAGTTAAGACTATTATTGGAGGTCGTACGCATGTTATTTCAGGCGTGAAAAAATGGGTTGAGGTGATGTAACAATCGGAGGAATTTTCCGCCCCAAAACCACGTTGAGATTTTGAAGGGCGTCGTAGTGAAGAATTCCGAAAATTTCGACCATCGGGTGTTCTTGAACGCGCACCTAAATCGACATACACGGACTTCTAGAGTTCTTGCTTCCAGTGAAGTGCGCGACCATAGGACGCTTGAAGGGTTGCAGTAAAAAGGAAAAATATAGTGATTATAGACACACTCTTTTATTTGTAACGTCATTAGTCCTTTATTTGCGATAAAAAAGAAAATTCTACCAAATTTAGCGAAAATCTTTCGATCAATTTGAACAGCTTTTTTTTCTGAATCAAGTGGTACCATTCCTTCAGTTCAATGGGGTTCCCTTAAGTCACTAAAGGCGTATAGCGCATAAAAACTATAGCAAAAATATCGCTTCCGCGAATGGAAGTACAAGGAAAGGTAGCTATAAAGTGAAATTCGAGACACAAATGTCACAACATAAACAATATCTAGCGTCAGGAAACACAACTATGACGACAGAATTTGTCATGGTTCTGTCATTTTGATACAAAATTTCATGACGAGCATTCTCGTCAGAAGGAAGCGAGCGGGTCACAAGTTGGTCAGGCAGGACATTTGCGGTATTGTCTTTGCATCGGTGGTGCACCCAACCTTAATGCTTTCCTTGAAATTTCGTTTTCGATTATTGAAGTATATTAGAAAGGTGCAGACCAAGCTGGGATTTCATGAGTACAGATCTCGTCATTTTATCGGCACCAAGCAATGTCTGCCTAGCATGTGCATAGTCCTCAACAGTTCCGCCTTCGCTTCCATCCGATGATAAAGAGTGTCTCACCAGGTGTTGATCAGCCCCGCGTCTCGTAGAAAGAGCTATCGGCAGTACTTGTAGCCTCTCTGATTTACGCGAACTACCCCACGAAAAATGACGTAAGCCAACTTCGGTTGAATAAAGCGCCTGTCTTACACTCGTGGGGCCGATTGTCGACAGGTGCCGAACGAGTGCCCTCCCAGACTGATCGGTGATGGCATACACCATTTGCGGCAACCCTGCTTCAAAAGGAACAGCCACATATCATTATCGTTATCATCGTCCCCACAAGTCAATGAGCAACCCTTATGCTGAAGTGAACGATAGAATTGCTGTGAACTTCTACATTATATTGTTGGCCTTTGAGGAAACGTTTGTAAGAAGGAGTAAGTACACATGACTGCAAATGTTGACGGGAAGAGGGTGCTACTGCGAATGCGAACTTTTGCTTTCCTAGTACATGCTGCTTTTGATCCATACTGGACCGCTGTACTGGTGTGTGGCTACTGGCTAAAACAATTAATACCTAGGTGGAGGCTGTTCCCTGACAAAGCAATAAATTTCACGTAAATTTCGCGTCCCATGAACCATGGCTGCAGGGTGTAAATGTGAATTATCGTACTGTTTGGTACTCAATGCTTTCACTGCAAAATATCTGAACACGGTGACCCTGTATTAGCTACGCACCATCAGTTTGTGCTGCGAATTTCTATTTTCAGTGGTTATAGCTTTGAAGCTGTTGGTCAGTAGCTCTTGTCCCCAGATTCATTTGTTCTTTCTCGTTGGTCACAGAGAAAAGCAGTGCCGCCACAAGCAGCCGCTGCAGCCCGGAGCTGGCTTACCATTGCTACCATGACGTGTCCATGAAGGTTGTCATCGACCACTGGGTGCCGGAGTCGAGGGATGACCCGCAGTTTATGCCTATTTGCACTAGGTAGGTCCTTAGGAAGTCATAAGTATAAGTGCAGGTTTTCATGCCAAGGAATGCCTCAAGGAATCACAATGACGTAAAAGCCACATTGCATCGACAGTCGGTGGGCATCTCTGTTAGTGCTCAGATCTGAGGTGGCCGTTCCTGGGTGGAGCATCTGTTGTCATTCGTCGTAACCGGGATAAGAAGATTAAACGATTATTGAAAATTTCTGAAAAGCTCAACTGAAATGGTTGAGAACCAATCGTCCAGAGCTCCACTGACTATAGCTGCAGACTGGGCCGGACCCGGGTTGGCCTGCTGACTTCCCAAAGCCTGACCCGAGAGTCACACCTCCAACTACCAGCGTGGTTAATGTGTGTAATTGTATGAACGCTGAGTTTGCCGCGACAGGACGTGAGGGACAGCTGCATGTAACGTGTGTCAGTGTATGAATCCTACCGCACGAGGGACACTCAGTGAATGGAGGCCGGGACAGACGTCTTTGCTTAGGTGCCTTGAGCAGCGCAGGTACTTTCCTTTTCCCTGTGCTGGCTTGATTACTCGGGAACCTTCGCCTCCGAAAACCTACATAGAACCAACAAAAAGCCGTGTGAACGAACACAGCGTAAGATCGCTTGGCTCTCCAGCCAACTCAGGCTAAGCAGTGATCATATTTTTTCACCGTGGTTGGCTGGATTACTCCTACTTTTTACGCCTTAACAACAATAAAAATGATATATAAATATATATCCCCTTAAGTAGCGAGTTAGGACACGCTGTAAGAAACGCGTCACGTTCTCGTGGCATAATTTCAATCATTCAGTATTACATACAAAGCAAGAAAATGAAAGAAAGCGTTGTTCCGTGTGAGATTCGGCAATGAAGTAATGAGTGTGTAACTAATTATCTAATACTTCTGCCCCCAGTCAGCTTGAGTACTTGCATAAAAAAATCCGCTATTAGGCCTGCAATGCTTGCACAGTTTGTTTTTTCCCGGTGACTGCTGTGGGAACTTCGAGGTGTAGTCGCCTCCCACATTTTCATTTTGCGCGTTTTTTCGTTCACCAAGCGGCTTCTCGCCTGTAAACACGGTGTCCTTGGTACCCGTGAAAAAGCAATTTACTTTTACGAGAAAAATTAATTTTGCTCTTTAGGGTACCTTGAAAGGCACTTCAACTCTTTTTTCCATGGTCATGACTCCTCGGCGACCCATGTCTTTGTGTCACACGCTTATGAAACTATCTCTTTACAGCTGCAAAGAGTTGCCGCTTCAACCCGAGTGTAAGTATTACTACTCGGGTTGCTTCGAAAGTGAGAAAGCGACAGTTTCGTCTGCATGAGCAGGGCTACGATTATCTGCGCTTCTTCAGCAGGAGGCTTGACTCCTGCATTAGTGAGTATTTTTCAATGCTTAGCACATCTTCTGGCCGCATGTTGTGTGTTCACTTGATGGCGTCGCGTTCTAAAACTTGGTTTCCGGCATGAAGTCCCAATTTTCACCCTAGAAATCTTGTAATGCTATTTATGTTTACCGAGCTTAGTTTTAACTGAGCTAAGACATAGGCGTAGCCACGAGATGGCACACTGAACCCGTGCCTCCCCCCACCCTCCCCCTCCAAAATTCTTTTCTCCCCATGCCACATAGAGCGAAAAGTGATCAAAAGTGACCACTTCAACACAGGTTCGCCCCCCCCCCCCCCCTATAATACAACGAGGTGTGTCCACTGAAAAAAAAATTGCTGCCTGCACCCCTGAGCTCAGAAATACAAAGAAAGCTGCACCTGCGAAAAAGTTGCTTCAACAAGTAGCTTCAACATTAACATGCCTTTCTCCATATAAAACGAGCCACGCATACTTTCTATGTTTTCACGAAACATCAGTCAGAAAAAACAAGATGTTAATGAGTGCTTGACTGTGAACGCAATCAATGCTGTAATAAAACTGCTTATGGGGACAATTAGCTACGCTTCATTTTGAGTTATAGATCCTCCCATTAGAATTCATGGGAATTTGTGATGGATGGAGCAAAAAAGAGAAGAAGGAATCTTCAAGATATGCTGAATTCACGCATTTGTGAGACTAACCCCCGTATTCAGAAACGCTCGTGACTTGAACATGAACTTGACTTGAAACCATCTTCAATTCACGGCGTTTGAAACGCATCTTTGCTGTTTTTGCTCCCTTGGAACCGCCTAAAGACAGTGCGCTCCAAATGCGTTTGTGCTGCATTGAAGTCGGTGGCAAGTCAAGTTCAAGTCAAGCAGCGTTTCTGAATACGGGGGTTAGTCTCGTTGCCACGAAAGCTAGTCTTCGAGAACAATATTCTAAGATGATTTATATTTGGGCTAGTTATTACTTACATTGCTTCACTGTGGCACAAGATACATCTCGTGAGAAAAAGGAAATAGAAGAGAAAAAAGTTTTCTTTCTTCTGTTTCTTTTTCATGAAATGTATTTGCACCACATACAGTCAAATGTACTTAACCGATCTTCGAGGTTTTCTATGGTTGTAAAACCATACGACATGAAGGAGTTAATGGTGGCCTGATAGAATCCCGTTGCAGAAAAGCATCAGTGCTTGTGATAGTTGTTTCAAAAAGTAAACACAGGCTGCCTGAGTGAAGCACGTGGGGTGTATGTTGGTTCTGGTAGTGCCAGAAATAGAGATTCTGGTAGAGAAATAGGGAAATAGAGATTCTGGTAGTGCCAGAAGTAGAGCCCACCGCTTGAGTGCCTTGCTAGGTGGAGCGCGTGTTGGTGGCCCATATTGCATCCCAACTGCAATCCCTAACCTTGCTTTGGCTTTTTGAAAAAAAAATATTCCTTAGACTTGCAGAAAAGAGGTGGCTACTTAGAGTCTCGACTCAGCAGGTTAGTTAGCGGCTGAAAAATAGGATGGGAGTCACCTGTGAAAAATTTTCAGTCACCGAAGCTCCTGCAACCTTCTTTTCGGAATGCGTTCGGAGTAGGGAAATCTTCACTCACACGCAGCCGTGATTTTAGCAACTTGATGCTTTGAAGAATGTCCGAGGTTTGAGCTCTGAAAGTGCATTGATGAAGCTTTAGGGTAAGGCCGTGTTCATGCAGTCGGTAAGTGGATGTCGAAACTGTGCTTTGTGTTCGAAAGTGAGCTGTAAAGAAAGCCATGAATCGGCGAAGAAACCGCGCTGAACACCGTTATTGGCTTCGTGTTGATGTTTCCTGGCAGTGCTCGCCTGCACGCGCTTATTTCTTTTCATATTTTTCAACGCACTTCCACTACCAAGAAGAGCTTCACAAGTTCAGCTTAAACAATTTCTGCCTCGCTTTTAAAACTTTTCATCTTGGGCTTTTCACTCGGCAAGATCGGGTTATGTCATTTTAATCAGGTTCAACGCCTGTGATTCATCCTGGGGGTCAAGCACTTTCGCAAGTGTCAGGCTCTTTAAACATATTCGTCCCATTTACATGAAGAGTGCTGCTGCTGCAGAGTTATTGTTAAAGATGAAACTGCCTGTAGTTCTAATAGGTACTCTTCCTTCCACTTAATCTACCTGTGATCTACCGGCTACTGATGAAATCTCAGCTTCTTGCTTTCAGGTCGTGTAGGCTGAGGACTGCGAGCTTCGTAGTCATAGCTGTTCCGCTCCAGAGAGGTCTGAATCGCCTAACAACAAAATGCACCCGAAACATCGAACAGAGTTCCTTGGAGTCCGTATGCTTGTAAAGGAGCGGTCTCGAGTTGGCACCCGCCTTCACTTCCAGTTGCACCTTTTCCATTTCTTCGCAGATGAGCTGGCTCTTTTCAAGTGCTTTGAGCCACGAAGACTCATTTCTCTGGAAAATCTACCACGCGAACCACCTAACCAATGCGCTAGACGGGAAATTAACTTCGACTGTCCTCGATGCGTTGATGGAGAGCTCGTAATCATAGTCGTCTCGGCCTTGTAGTTCACCAATATTTCAATGTATTCATTGAGGGATAATTTGTCTTGAGTGGGTCACTTAGCTTGGAACGTGACTTGGAACTTCGCAGTCAAGGACTCTCCGCTGATATTTTTTTCGTTATGGCACACAATGTATATCTATATGGATAGGAGTGTTCTTAGGAACACTTCAGCGTGTACTTACTGCACGAATTGTTCGACGACTGCGTCGTGTCGCTCCAACAAGCCTGTTTTTGTCAGCCTGTTTTTCAGTTTTTATGGACGTGTGAATACGGAATCACGGTTTTTTCCAAACAGCTGTGTTTGCTAGTCTTTACGATTAATCACGTGTCTCCTATATCTCTCATCAGTCATTCCTGGCAAGCGCACCGTGGACTCGGGTAAATGTCCGTTCGCCAGAATCTGTGATGACCCCTGCTACTAGTGGCCGGAATGACTGGGGAATCTGTGAGATGGTGTTATCATCGCTGATCGTTTCGACTGGCAGAGCACATACCATGAAACTAAAGTCACACTCCAGAAAGACTTTTTGGTGACTTGGGTTTTGTAGCATCCACCAAAGCACTAGCTGTGTCAACCGCTACAGTCCTGGAACTTTCATGTTCCTTACAATTTCTCCTGACATTACTTGCCAAAGATGGTCGGCTCCGCTCAACAAGCTGCGGCCATAATCCGTCTCTTCATCAAAGATTGTTTTTGTCTGCTGTGAACTTGCCTTTAAAACGCAGCTTCTGATGGAAGTTGCTGTCAACTTTCGGGGAGACAATGTCGTGATAGATAACTTAGACAACAACAGCCCGCACTATGGGTGTGTCGGAATCGTGTTGGCTGCGCAGGTGAACTTCTACCACATTCGGTCTTTCCACAGTACTTGGCGATGCGCAGCCAAGCGTGCTGAATGACACTCGAATTTTTCCCAGTAGCTTCAGCTGCAATTTTCCAATGAGATCTTCTGGGATGTATGATCTCTGGCTTTTGCCATCGAGAATCCTAGTGTATCTGGATCTTTTTCCGTTAACAACGAATGCGCGAAAGGTCTTTAGGTGCACTCCAGGGTCCATATTTGTGCAAGCACTCGTAGAATTCTTGCCGCACTTATCAGCAAGAATTTCACATATCGAGAAGAGAGGGATTGGTGTCGCTAATGCGTGAGCCATGGTTCTTTGATCCGCAGAAGAAACACTATCTCCAGCTGTTTCATGCGCTCTGCAGTACAGAAGCAGTGCTGGTTTAGCCGTGTCGAGCTCTATGATAACAGAGTGTTTTCTTCGACAGGTCATGTACGTACGGTTCACACTCCTGCCGGCTTTTCATTTCGATAAGTATGAACAAGAGCAGCTGTTTTCAACACCAAATCGAAGTCGATGAGGTTCACGCCGATCAGGAACGATTAATTGCAGTCCTCGCCCCCTGCAGCACCACGCGGTTGAGTGGGAGGTCCCCTCGAGTCGTGCGATGAAGAACGTGTCCGCACGAGGGGTTTCGGCACCACAATGTAATGAAAGCTATGAATCCGCAAAGAAACCACACCGAACACCGTTGTCTGTTTGTTTCTTTGAAATTGTGTCTCATACCCACTCACAGGGGCAGGCTAAGAAAGCGTAGAGTACTTTTTCTGTGAGCATTAAAACAATGCTCGCACTAAGGAACGCCGTTACGATGATGATGATGGCCTAAAAGCTTAAAAGAACGCTGCTAACGGTTCGATATTCTTCTTTTCTGGCAGTGAAGATGATGACGATTTTCCTGAAATTTTAGCACTTACCCACTGTGGGGGATCTGGCAAGAGTCAAGTGGATCCTACAAAATAAATTTATGATTAACATTTTGTAAGAACTCGAATTGGTTAGTGATGAAATTTTTATTGTAATGGTAATTATGAAGGATTGTAATCTTAGCTTGCCCAATTTTGCGTCGCCTTCCAATAACCTACACGCGTTTCTTTCTTTTGAACTTTTTGAACATGAACTATCTGCTATTTGCGTGAGTCTCGACATTACATTGCATCATAAGTGACCTGCTATGCGCCAGCAGTTCTCTGCCTGCATGATAAGTTCACGACATACGCGCTACTACTCAAATTACCTCAAAGACGATTATCCACATTGGAACGCATGGTTCGAAGCAAAAGAATATGGCATAGAATGCTACTTTTGGTTTGCTTCGCATGAAATTAATTACCACAGAGAGTAGGCTTCCCAGCAGATGTACAAACCTGAAACATCTGTGAACAACAAAAAGGTTATCAAAAGGTAGGTAGCACGAATAAACAAAATAAAAGGGCCACAACAGCGAACACGAACACTAATGGACCAGTCGATGAAAGCGTATGACAGAACAAAAGGTTGCCAAAAATAATATAAAAGGCTGTACACTAGAACAAAGTGGAAGGCCGCCATTCGTAATTTCATCCTATACACACTGCTGACCCAGTCATCAGAATTTACTCCGTAGATTTGTTGCTTATGGTGTCAGCTAACTTATGCGAACCGTCAACATTTGTGATGTGTACGTGCTGGCTTATTTTCGGGAAAATCAATCAATAAGCCCTCCAGCTATGACTCATCGCTTCTGGGGTGCGCTGCTGTGCAATCTAGCCAGCTACTTTTCTACACTTTATTCTCAACGAAGCATCATCATCATCACCATCATCAGCCTAAGCCCACTGCAGGACAAAGGCCTCTCTTATGTTCCGCCAGTCAACTCGGTCCGGTGCGTGTTGCTGCCACGTTATACCCGCAAAATCTAATCTGCTCACCTAATGTTCTGTCTCCCCCTCACCCGCTTGCCTTCTTTTGGAATTCAGTCTTAGATCCTTAATGACGAGCGGTCATCTTGCCTTTGCGCTACGTGCCCTGCCCATGACCATTTCTTCTTGCTTGATTTCGACTGTGGCACCCTTATGACCCGTTTGTTTCCTGATACACTCTGCTCTCTTCTTCTCTCTTAGGGTTACACTTGTCATTTTCTTTTCCATTGCTCGCTGCGTCGTGCTCAATTTAGGCTGAACCCTCTTTGCGATTCTCCAAGTTTCTGCTCAGAAAGTTAATACCGGTAAGCTGCAGTTGTTACATACCTTCCTCTTCAGGGCTAGCGGCAATCTACCATTCATGATTTGAGAATGGTAGCTGAATGTGCTCCACCACATTCTCGTTCGTCTAGCTACTTCAGTTTCGTGGTTAAGCTCCACGGTTCCTACCTGTCCTAAGAAGACGTGCTCTTTTACAACTTCAAGTGCACTGCTACCTATTCGAAGTGCCGTTCGTTTGTGAGGTTGTTGTACATTATTTCTGTTTTTTGCTGATAGTGTTAAAATCTATCTTTCTGCCCTCCTTGTTATTTCACTAATCATGAATTGCAACTCGTCTTCTAATTTATTTTTGTCATGTCGACGGCGAATAGAGGCAACGAACATAGAATGTAGTGTTTTAACGAAATGGGCCTATTTTAGGAGAACAAATATTAAGTGGAACATAGCTCAGCAATTTTTCCGAAAGTGAGCCCCCGCAGGCATTCCTCAGAAGCACGCACACTGATGCTACGGGTTTTTCAGTATCTCAAGAGTAGGATGTAGTTGATAATTGCATCGAGTCACAGATCTGCGCGCCTTTATACGGTCAATGTTGAAGTTGATTCTGGTGTAAGGAAACGAACAGTCATTTCAGTACAGTGTCATCGTGTCAATTGGCAGGGGGACACGTTATCGCGATGACAATAAACATGCATGAATTCTTCCCAGCTGAAATTTCTCAGTGCGGTGGGTCTTTATCTAAACTTTTTTGCTTTTGTGACTTGTCTTTCACTTCACTTTCATGTTCAATTGTAGATTGATTCGCTGTTCTTTTTGACCTCTTTTGCATCACTCGGCTCCAAGTGGTGTGTAGTTTGTGCATGCAGGTGCCACTTTGATTTATCATTTGCGTGATTCTAATGCTTAAACCCTCCTACCATGTCCTTTTTTTTCTCGCACCAGCTCCCTATTTTCTTCACATCTGTGTGGACATTAATGAGTTGAAGAACTGTGCTTTGGAGAGGCCCCACGTGTCTCAGCGACTCCGTGACTTCAGGAAACAAAGCTACGCGTGAGTACTTGATAATCTTATAAATAATTATTGTTGGAATTTATAACATCCCAAGATCGCCTATATCAATATGCGAGACGCCTTAGTGGAGTGCTTCCAGAAATTGCGACCACCTAGTGTTCTTTAACGTGTGCCTAAATCTAAGCACATGGGCTTCAATCAGTCTCGCATCCATAGAAAATCCGGCCGCCGTGGCTGGGATTTGATCCCCCGGCCTGCGACTCAGCAGCCGAGTGTCTGAGCCACTAGACTACCGTGGAGGGAAGCTGAGTATATCAAGTCCACCGCACAGATAAACAGATTAAAGCTATTTCGCTTGTGAGCAGAGCTGTGATATAAATGTTGCCAATGAGAGCCGTTCCTTGACTTTAGCACAATATTTCATAAATGGCAGTCAAGCAGTGTACCTCCAGAATTTATATTTCGTTTAGAAAGAGAACAAAAGAACTGGAGCTCTTGCCTTGTGAAAATGTGGGCAAGTGAAATATTGCCTGACGCGACACTTTCTTTCCTCTTCTTTCTTTCTTTCTTCGTTCATTATTCGTTACTTCATTCCATCTGCTGCGCTCCTTCTTTCCTTCTTCGTGCCTTCTTTCCTTCCTTCTTTCCTTTGTTTTTTCTTTTCTTTTTCTTCCTTTCTTTCTGCCTTTTTTCCTTCTTCTTTCCTTTCTTCGTTCCTTCTTTCTTTCCTTCTTTCTTTCTTCTTTCTTTTCTTCTTTCTTTCTTCCAGGGCCAAATTTTTGTATACTAGCATATTCTGTACATTATCGGGTGCCATATTTTTCACTCAAGACGTCAGCACCGTAATTCGGTATTCAAAAGGCTTCGCATAGGAGCACGACACCTGAATTTCGTTCTAATAAGCGAGAGCCGATAAAAAAGGTGTTGTACTACCCCATAAGTAAAATGATCATTGCTACTCGTTGATTGTAACAACCAATAAGTAACGTAGGTCATGAAACTTGTTGCTTTACTAGCAAGATTACAATGCCTAATTAACTTGACGACGCGTTAGATAGTCAAAAACGAGACATAAGCCAGTGCACTAGTTTACGTCATTACTATTAAATTCTCGTCAATTTCGCCATCTTTCAACCCGAAAGTGTTTCAGTGCCGGGGTCCACCAAGACTTCAGTGACGCATTTCCGTCATGGAAGTGCTGTCACCGAAATTCACGCGATCAGACGGCAAAGAAAAGAAGTTCAGTCAACGTGAGTCAAACCCTTGACCTTTCGAATCACGACAATGGAGGCCGGTCACACACTCGGCGTCACGGTTACACGACTTGAAGGCTTTCCAAACGCGTCTTTCAAATCTCACACTCTGCTCTCACATTGCTCTTGGTCGGCGGTGTGGTGTCACCCTCTAGAAGCGATAAATTGAAGTAGTGCATCAAAACCGCGGTCTCCGCGATTAGCTCCTGCAACACATCATTGCTACGCGTCCCATTTGGTGCGTTTTCAACAGAATTGCAATTTTGACGACGCCTTAACCACGAGGCAGCGACAATAGCCCAAGTGTCAGCCTTGCTTATAGCATGAATCCATACCACAAATAGCTCGTCGACGCGCGCCTACCCAGCCTGATTGCCACAGCCTCTTTCCTTGCTTAAGCTCGTCCCCAAAACGATCGCAGCTGGGGTACAGGGGGAGGAGAGACATGACGCGCATTGCGTTTCTCTCTAGCACACTCACTTGTATTCAATAACTTTAACACGTCCGCGGATGGTGACTGTAGCCCACTTATGCGTCCAATGAACGACGATAACCTGGCTGTCGAAGCCGGAAAAAGGGAAGTAAAAAGATGAAGAAAGGAACAGAGCAAGAAAGAGACAGGAGGGAAAGAAATGTAATATGAACCTTGAATTGGCTGCAGTGGCGACGATGATGATGATTATAATGATGAGGATGATGATTGTGATGATGATAGCCTATATGCATGGCTCACACCCACTTTGGAAGATCGGCGTTCGCGCACGCTCGTCGTCCTCAAAGAGCACAAGTGTGCCTGTACTGCCTTGTGGGCCGACGAGAAACAAAGACAGTGTTCTAGTAGCACCTGCCTTATTTGTTTGTTGACTTATTTATTTATTGCTTCTTTATTCACTCATTTATTTACGACAGCAGGACTCTTATGCACGAGGTTGGGCGCGTGTTGTAGATAGAAAATCATCATCACCATGTGACGGCATGCAATATCTTCTTGTTTGTCGTCATCAGCTGCCTGCTTTGCCTCGCTACCAGAACACGTATGCACAATTCCGCGCCGTTGTAAGGTTTACCGAGTTTCTGTGGCACGTACATTTCGACGGATGAGCGGCTACCTCGTTTCTGTTTATAAAGTGGTGAAGAGCGGAGCTGTGACACATACGTGCGAGGAGTATTAATCAATATAGTCTTTCTTGGGCTACTTCCACGCAGACATTTTGGTCTATCAGTCTGCCTGTCTTTCCGTTGGTCCTTCCGTCCAATTACTCAGCCCCAGCGAAAGATTACACCTTTGCTCAACGCCCACTCATCTTGATTTCATGACGGCGTTCATACATGTGAAGATTGTATATCCAAAAGCAAATATTACGCTTATTTGGGGCACAAAATCAATACGTAAGTATAGGTAGTGTGCCTTCCTAATTTTAAAATGCATAGGTATGTAATTCTAAAGGCCGCCGTGTTTATTATGCTGCGCTTATAATGCGACAGCATGAACGAAAAAGCAGATGTTTTCTACGCTTTGCTGAAACGACACGGTGCTACCACCCTATAGTAGCTCTGCGATTAAAAAAAAACAAGAAAAACTTTCGTTTCTTCACAATCATGCCAGATGGCGCCATACCAGACGCAGTGCCTCCCGATAAAGGACTATCGTCTTTCGACGTCTTTTGCAGCAAAGCACGCAAATGTGCGGATATGAATAAAACACCGTAGTGGAGGGCTCCGGAAATTTTGACCACCTGGGGTTCTTTAACGTGCACCCAAATAAGCACACGGGCCTACAACAAGCACACGGGCCTACAACACTTCCGCCTCCATCGGAAATGCAGCCGCCGCAGCCGGGATATAGTTATGTGGGGCTTAACGTCCCAAAAGCACCGTATGACTAATGGCGACGCCGTAGTAGAAGGCTCCGGAAGTTCAGACTACCTGGGGTTATTTAACGTGCGCTAAAATCTGAGCACACGGGCCTACAGCATTTCCGCCTCCATCGGAAATGCAGCTACCGCAACCGGAATTCGATCTCGCGACCTGCCGGTCAGCATGTTATGCTCAAGGTTGACCGCACGTGTCGCTTGCTTGGTCGCGATTTGCCTCTAATGCAGTGCGAAGGATTGGCGATGAACCAGTGGTTAACTTAGGAATAGAGTGTGGAATTCAGACGAAGAAAGAAGAAAAGAAAACCTATGGCTGGTAGAGTGGCAAATATAGAAGTTTTATTTTCAGAAGTATACTTCATGTACTAATACATAAAGTGCAGAATCATACAGTTGTATGCAGTGAGCTAATAAAGTTATGAAAGGCTGAAGTTGAAAATTTTGAACGAGAATAATTCAGCAAGAAATTTATTTTGCGTCGGACAGAAAATCTAAATTTCGCATACGACTACGCAGATGTCCCTGTGGCTCAGAGAAGAATCCCTAAGAGAAAGATTATTTTCAAAAGAGCTGTTCCTCGGTTTGTCAGAACAAACTGGAAATGTTTTAGCTGAAGAAACATTGAGAAGTTAGCGAAAAGTGATGAAGGTTTCTGGCTCTTTATCGTAAAAGCCTAGTGGAGATGGCACCTAATCAGAGCTGTCAGAGAAATAACAAATTACCATCGTCGTGAAAGGGCCCCTCTTTTTCACTTGCGTTTTGTGCTTAGCTCGCAAAATACGTGAGGACATTTTTCTAGCACACGATGAGATAACTGTTACTGGGCGAGTACTAGAACGAGTACTAAGAGACAAAGAGAAAACTAGATAAAGAATCTTACTTTCACCTCCATATTTTTAACCTAAGATAACTGACCACCCTCTAAAATCAAGAGTAATTTTTTGCCGAACAAACATTTACCACTACTTACTTTTTCCATTCACAATCTACCAGTTGAATCGGCTTCCACAGGAGATTGCAGACTGCTGCACTGAAGCATCTATCAGGGACATATTGCTGCTGTCATAGCTGCATTTTTGTTACGATCTGTTTTAGGGACGAAGCTCTTAAGGCGTGGTTACTGTACATCTTCTGAGGTATGTAGTTGTAATTGTAGTTAGTAGCCACCTCTAGTTTAGTTCTTGCAGTGTTCACTAGATGGCGGTAGCTGATGCGAGATAGTATAGAACGCGATGGCGGTACTTGGAGTGCTCACTAGATGACGGTACTTGCAGTTGATGAATAGATGCGAGATATTATAAAACTAGATGGCGGTACCTGTAGTTAATAATCAAAGATGCGAGATGTTATAACAGGAGTGATGTCACATATGGCGAGTGTCATTGGTGGAAGGCAATCGTTCGATCTAGTGCGGCGACGTACGCTAGGGGACGCGTTGTAATAAAATTCATTCGCTGTTGGTGCGTCGTGAAGCTGCGCGACACCGCTACCAGGATCCTGCCGTACGAGAGCGGGAGGCCGAAGCTGCACGGCATAAACATACAGCGTTTCTCACGTATTTAAATGATGATGAACTCGGGGAATCGCTCGGAAGATTTACGGTTTTTGAATAGTTCTTTTTATGTAAGCGTATGTAACACGGTGTATTTACCCCCTGCAATAATGCCCTCGGGTGTTGCAGGTATTTTTAATAAATAAATAAGTAACGTAAAGATAAGCATAGAGTAAAGAAAAAGAAATGGCCCCATACAACCAGTTAAATACCTAGTTAAAAATATTTGCGTGGGCTAGTATAGCCAGGTATAAGTGTAGTCTGCAAGATATGGGAAAGAGACAGGCGTAGGGGTAAAATCTATTGAAACCAGATCCAGCTAGATGCCCACTAGCTCTTATGTGATCCCACCTTGCGCGACTTGGAGCAACTCAGAAGGTATGCGATGCTGGCTTCTTAGTAGCACGTCTTCAGCAGGTTTCTCTGTAGCGCACGTAGAATACAAGGCAAAATTAAACCACATGCTAACTGGGAACTGTTCAAAAACAAGCTCATAAGTCTCAAAAATAAATTTATCCCTACTATTCTTATCAAAACCGACTCACTCAATCAGTGGTTCACTAAACGCCTAAAATCCTTACTCAACAGAAAAAAACGCCTATACCGATCAGCGAAACCACGCAACGATACCGACGCCTGGGAAAAATATCGCCTGTGCGCCGATCAGTACATGAAAGAGGTAGCTGAAGCAAAAGCTAAATACTTCTCAGTGGATCTGCTATCTATTCTAAAATCGAATCCTAATAAGTTTTGGCGTTTGCTTTCACCAAAGTCAAGTAGCAACCAAATCGAACTTGTTGATTCAGGAGGTCAACCGATAAACAGTGAGGATTGCGCATCCGTCCTTAATGACTACTTTGCATCAACATTTAACCCCGCCAATAGCACTGCCGTCTCGCCCTCTCCCTTCAGTTCCCCTCGAGAACTCTCCCCATTCGACATAAATCCTGATGGAATTTCTAACTTAATTCGTAATCTTAAATCTTCTTCATCGGCTGGCTGTGACTGTATCACCACCAAGCTTTTGAAAAACACTGTCCATTATTCTAGCCTATTACTTTCTCTAGTATTTTTGCAATCCTTAGAGCTGGGCACCGTTCCAGAGTAGCGGAAAAAAGCCCAGATTATACCGATCTTTAAGTCAGGCAACCGGTCAATCCCAGCTAATTACCGTCCAATTTCTTTAACGTGCATTTGTTCTAAACTATTTGAGCACATTGTAGCATCTAGTCTCATGAGCCACCTTGAATCAATTAATTTCTTCCATCCACTTCAACACGGCTTTCGCAGACATTTTTCCTGTGATACCAAGCTCGCCGAATTTACGCACGACTTACTTAATTCCATGGATAATACCCTTCAGACAGATGCCATTTTTCTGGATTTTGCAAAAGCCTTCGACCGCGTACCTCACAATCACCTGATTCGCAAGCTAACTTCTCTTGGTATTCCTCCGAATTTATTAAGCTGGATTAAGCACTTTTTGACGAGACGCATGCAGTTCACGTCAGCTAATAACTGTCAATCAGCATTTGCTAAGGTAACATCCGGCGTGCCGCAAGGTGCCGGTTTATGGCCCCTTCTGTTCCTCATCTACATTAATGACTTGCCGGCTAACATTAAATCTAATATCCGACTTTTCGCTGACGATTGCATCATCTACACCGTCATCAATAGCCCTGCCGATGCTAATAAGCTACAACGCGACCTCGACTCAATTGCTTCATGGTGCAATAAATGGCTCATGCCCCTAAACATAGATAAGTGCAAATCATTATCATTTACCCGTAAGCGTGCCGTACTTGCCAACATATATTCTATTAACGCCGTGCCCATAGTTTCCGTATCATGCTACAAACATCTTGGCGTTCACTTGACTTCATCGCTATCCTGGACTACCCACATCGATTCCATCTGCTCTACAGCATCCCGTACACTTGGCTACCTTCGACGCAACCTGAAGTGCGCATCCCCCGACGTAAAAAAACTAGCTTTCATCACCTTCGTACGCCCTAATCTTGAATATGCTTCAGCAATCTGGCATCCTTCACAAGCCTACCTAACAGCTAAATTAGAGGCCCTGCCGCGGTGGTCTAGTGGCTAAGGTACTCGGCTGCTGACCCGCAGGTCGCGGGTTCGATTCCCGGCTGCGGCGGCTGCATTTCCAATGGAGGCGGAAATGTTGGAGGCCCGTGTACTCAGATTTGGGTGCACGTTAAAGAACCCCAGGTGATCAAAATTTCTGGAGCCCTCCACTACGGCGTCTCTCATAATCAAATGGTGGTTTTGGGACGTTAAACCCCACAAATCAAATCAACTAAATTAGAGTCCATCCAAAATCACGCAGCTCGCTTCATATCTTCGCAATACTCACACAAAACCAGCGTTACCGAGCTAAAACCCTCTCTTTCTCTTCCAACTCTTGAATCCCGCTGCTTGATCACCCGTCTATGCCTTCTACACCGCTTCAACTATCATCCACGCTCAAGACATCAGTTGCTCCAATCTGCTCACAGAACTTCATCGCGCGTAAATCACAGCAGGCCCATTGCACGCTTCAATGGCCGGACGACAGCATTTATCACCTCATTTTTTCCTAATGCAATAGCCCTCTGGAATGCCTTACCGGATGACTACGCTTCATGCGCCGACAAGGAAACGTTCCGCGCAAAACTGAACGAACATTTTTTTAAGCCTCTCTCCTGATAATCTCAACTACTTCGTGTTTATCGCCAATCATTTTAGAATTGTACTTAGTTTTGCTCTGCAATTGTTTAACATATGTAAAGCATAGTGTATTCTTTTTTATCTTGTTCTAGTTCGTTCATGCGATTTCTGATTCCTGTCTCCTGTGTAAACTTATTTGCTTTTATTCATTTTTTTTCTGTTGAACATTGTACCCTATCTTGTTACTTGTCCCCCCTTATGTAACGCCTTCGGGCCTTTAAGGGCGAAATAAATGAAATGAAAATGAAATTTTCGCGTGGCTTACCGTGAGCTGTTCTGCACAAGCGCGAGGACCAGTGACGGCACACGCAGTACAGCTGGCGTGCTGGAGAAGTCCTTGGAAGCTACTGGAGTAACGTGTCACTAGCAAACCGGCACTTGACTCACGTGATCTATCACTCGTTTGCCAGTCCGTCCATGCATCCGTCCGTCCACCCATCTGTGGTTCGTTCGCTCGTAGTCCATCCGTCAATCCATTCGTGTTTGTGCATTCGTCCATGCATCCGTCCATCCATGGTTGGTTGATTCAAGGTTCATCTGTGCGTCGGTCTGTGCGTTCGTAGTCATCCGTCCGTCCGTCTTTCTATAGTTCACTTCACGTATATACTCGGAAAGCCAAGCTGCCTCTGCAATTTTTTTTCACTAGTGGTAAGGATATAGTGTGCAGTTATGAGGCCATGTTCAAGCACATCGTTGCCCTTTCCTTCCCTTGAACAGACTAGTTGAAGACTTCACCGCCTGCGTGGACAGAGCGTTGGAAAGGTGCGACAACGATACCGAAGCCGATAACCTGAACTTTGTCAAGCTGGTACTGACTGCTACCAGCAACCTGAATTGGTTCGACGAAGGACACCGAGCCCGAGTCTACCACGACTCAGCGACAACGACAACAGTCTACAGACGCACCGTCGACTTACTAGGTATACTAAGACCGACGACTAAGGAGACGGCTACATCTGAGACCATGGCCGCGTCCTTGCATGTCCCATGAGCCGACGTCTACCCCAGTTGCGACCACAGAGACAGGCTTCACGGCTACTGCTAACACGCCAGAGTTCACGAAAGCCCCCTACAATGCCGCTCCGTCGGTGAATGCTATAGGAGCTCTTGTGCTCGTCACGGTTGCCTTGCTTCAGGTGTGAGAAGTCAGTTCTTAAGACTTTTTAAAAGAGCATCACCGCAACGAGTGTGCAATTTGCAAAGCGGTAATCATTAAGAAACTGGAAGGAACCCCCGTTGGCATCACTTGGACCTGGTAGAGGTAGTAAAACTCTCGGGTCGTTTCATGAAATGAAAATTGTGAGGACGCCCGGGACGTCCTTGGCAGGCAGAGGTTACGCATCCGAGGATGCTGCCTGAACTTGAAAAAAAAATCAGCGCTTTGGTTTAGCAGCAATTGTAACTTGTGCTTGTGACTATGAACGAAGTATTTTGCCTATTATAAGCGGCATGACATTCGAGACCCCTTAACAGACCGGGATTCAGATATCAGCGCTCATGTGAACAATTTTGGTAGTGAGTGCATTGCATTGCGCATGCAATTACAATGAATTCGATCAACGAGATGGTAAACTTCAGCAAGCAGCTGAAGTTCAAGTTTTCTTTCTCGAGGTATTACAAAACAGAAGAAAGTATACAGAAAGAGGTCTTACAGTTGAAGAACTGTAGCGGGACCTCTCGTTATCAATTACAGAACAAGTATAAATATGCAACAGTCGCGAACAGAAATATATAAGAAACTATCATATTGCTTGAAATGATAAAGGTACACGTTGGAGCACAAGATTTCGTTGCATATAACAAAAACGAGAAAAAAATACACTGAAACGATAGCGATTACAAACAACGAATGAAAATACAAATAAAAAAGTTCAAGCTCACTGTAAATGAAGAATCAGTGGTATTTACGAAGAAATCAAATAAGCTTTCAATGATAGTTGGTATTATGACTGTCAAGGTGAAGATTTTAAAAGAACGGGTAGATCATTCCATAGTTTGACGCTTGCAAAATTGACAGTTTTTCGTAGTTGCTTGATGATTTTGCAAGTAAAATGTTATTTTTGGAAGAAAACTTAAATTTATTAGGGGCGAAGCTCCTTAAGACTTCACGATGTCCGCCGTCTCCCGTCTCTTCATAACACGTCTTCATCTGTCTGACATTTCTGAACCAATTTCCATGTAACCTTCAACTTATAAGCAACAGAGGGCGTTGGTGGTAACCGTTTTGCATGTAACCTTCAACTTATAGGCAACAGAGGGCGCTGTGGTTAATTGTACATGTTATGGCGCCGCTGTCAACGCTATATATATATAACAACGTTCCATACCACACATTCTCTTCTCTCATATTGACGAAGACGAACGCAGGAAAGCGTGACGTGCTGAGTATCAGCGACGCCATCGACGGGAAGCTACCGCGGTGACAAAAGAGAAGGAAGCAGATGCAAGACGGCGAAGGCGACAACAAAGTTCTGCACCACAGACTAGGGCTAAGGAAGCAAAGGCTAAGCGGGAAAAACGCCAAGCTGACGCGCAGTTGAGACAACTTGAAGCGGATGCAAGGCGGCTATACCGACAAGAAAATTCTACACCGGAGATGATAGCTAATGAAGCTGTGATTATGAAGTGAAAACGTAACCCGGAACTCGCAACCTCACATCAGCTATAAAGAAAAATCACTGCTATATCACAATCGGTCTCAGAACTATCTCTTTGAATAAAAAATATATAAGTATCACAACCACAATTAGTCTCAGTACTATCTCAACTTTAATGAGAATAATCACCTCCGAAAGTTTTGCCCCATAATTATCCTCAAGCAGCTTAAAATGCAGCGATTTTTTTTTCGATTATCAAGACTGATTCGACCAATGACATGAAGTAATTGCTGATTGTTGAGCATGCAATAGGTGAGAATACCGTAGTTGTAGGAGTTAAGCTTGTTTAATGTGAGCAGACTTAACTCGGTGACTCTGGAGGTAATGTGGGCGTTGTAAGAAGCCAAAGTGATAATGTGAACATTTTGGATGTGTTGCAAAGGGGCTATATGACAGTGATATGTGAGGCCCCATGATGTTATACAAGAATCTACATGACTGAAAATAAAAGCAGAGCTTAATGTCGAAAGGGTGTGCCATTGAAAGTAGTGTCTCGCCTTTAAGAGGACCCGGACGCCGTATGTGGTTTTCTTCTTTAAGAAGTTAATGTGAACGTTAAATTTCAAAGGTGAAATAGGTCAAATACTTAGATGCGACCTTGCTGGCGAGTAACAAATGAGCGAAACAATCATGTCGTAATGTTCCCCGGATTTCTGGCGAAAGGGTAAGTGTTCGTGACAGTGTGTGTTCTGCAGAATAAATGAGAACCGGAAACCGGAGGTGTTCGCGGTGTGGAAGCCATGACATTGCTTTTACTTGGCGTCTCGCCTAATATCGTAACGTACAAATGGGTTACTATCTTGACTTAGTGTCTCGAAATGTCTTTTATGCGATCCAAATAAAATATCACATAGAAAGCATGCGTCACGGATTGCTTTTCCCCCATGTAGTTTGAATTAGAACACAGCATCACTGCTTTAAAGTGATCATCTTGTAAGAATGTTACAGAGCCCTAAAGTTTAATCTATGCTTCAGAAAGTAAGGGTCGCATAAAGAATGCGTTCATTCTTGCGCGCACAATCTGGTCTTTAGATGGTAGTTACCGTAGCCCTCATTCTAAATAAAAAATATGTTCATGCCATATTATACAGCACAGTAAACTACATATCGGTGAAATTGACACAGGAGGTGCACGCACGCGTCAAACCATATACACAACAGAGCGTATATTGTAAAAGCGATGGACGTGGATTCGCCTGGGCTTCCACCGCAACCATCGACGTCGTCCGCAGCTACCACGAGAAAGCGTACGGGCCACCCGAGCGATGCCGACAGCGAAGACGACTGATTTACTCTACCGCCAGCGACGAAAGCTCCGATGAAGGCGACTTCGTGCCTGTGACAAGGCGGCAGCGAAAAAGAAGACTAGTGATGCCGTCTCCAACAACAAGTAAGAATGTGACGACGACGAGAGAGCCCACAATATACACAATTCTGTTTGTGCCGGTCGATGCGGCTCATAGTCTCAACCGGCTCAATCGTCAAGTCACGTCTAGGTTTCTTGAGGAACTCGCCCAGGGAGAGATCGCGGATGTAAGGATCAACGGCCATAAGAATATCTTCGCCGTAGACGTCACTCAACGAAGCACATTGGAAGTGCTGAGCAACGTCAAGATGTCGGATAACATCAATGTTCGCTCATATATACCTGATGGCCGCGACTCTACGGCAGGCGTCATTTACGACGTCGACATTTCCATCAGCGAAATTGACTTTGCTGCTCTCATGAAACCGGTGTCTGCAGAACTTCCTATACTGCAAGCTCGTCGCCTTGGCAAATCACGCTGCGTGAAGCTCGTGTTCAAGGGTGACAGCCTTTCATCGTAAGTCAAGGTCGGCCATTTTCGACACACAGTGCGACCCTTTGTACCGAAGCCCCTTCAATGCCGGAAATGTTATAGATTGGGACATGTCAGTGCTGTTTGTACAAACCTGGCTGTGTGCTCGCTATGCTCAGGATCACATAGCGCAGACTATTGCCAGGCAGAACTTCGAAAATGTCGAAACTGTCATGACCCTCACGAAGCGTCGTCAAAAGATTGCCCAATCATGAAAAAGGAAATGGAAGTGTTGAGGCAAATGGTGCGGGATGGCTCAACTCACAGGGAGGCCGCAGCCCAAGTACGACGCCGGCGGTCTCGTCGCCGGAGGCCCCTGAGGAGACCCAGTGCTGAAGCAAGGACTGAACCTCACCAAACGACCGCCGGCTTACCACCTCAAGCGTCCAGACACGCCGACAACAAATCTTCCAAGCAAGACAAGAGCATCACCGGCTCGCCTGAAGCATGGCCAGCGCTGCCAACGATAGACCCACCGTTTGAGCCACCGCATCGCTCGTCTACAATCACTTCGGAACGAGAATGCGGTGATAGTCGCGACAAAGAAATCGTAGTCATGGTAAAGACCCTCATGAATACAATTCGTATACTCCTCACTACCATTGACAGTCCGGCTGCAAAGAGTGCACTTCAGTTAGTGGATGCGCTGAAGCCGGGGCTATCAAGTCTGGAAAAGCACCATGGCTCCGCCCCTGCAAGCCTTTCGTAAAGAGGTCAAAGGAGCTTCGATATTTCAGTGGAATGCCAGAGGCCTCAAGCCTCGCATTTCTGATATCCGACAATTTGTGTTTAAAAACCAGTTTCCAATTATTGTTATCTGTGAGCCAAGGCTACACAATGCAATACGACTATTCAGGTACGAAGCCTTCAAGTCCGCTACCTGCAACGAACAGAGTAAAGTCATTGTATATATCAGATGCGACCTTACCTATATCGAGCACCGAATAGCCCCTCACGATGACAACCAGTATGTCTGCTTGACAGTTAAACGTAGAGAACTCATTTTCACGCTTGTAGGCGCATATATATCACCTTCAAACCGTTTTGAACCTGAAAGACTACGTGCAGTGTTAACAGCCACACCTAGACCATGGATCATCACCGGAGATTTCAACGCTCACCACCCACTATGGGGAAGTCAGAAGACAGACAGTCGCGGAAGGCAAGTATTCTCCTTTGCTCTGGAGCAGCAGCTGCTTTGTGTAAACGACGGAAGCCCAACGTTTCTACGGGGAACGACATACAGCAGCTGCCTTGACTTGACATTTGTGTCACGAAGCCTAAATGGAAAGGTCAAGTGGTTCGCAGACTATGAAACTCATGGAAGCGACCACATACCAACTTATTTGAAGATCAAGGGTCTGGAAAAATTGCCAAACTACAAGACTTCGACTCGCATCGACTGGACAAAGTTCAGGTAACTGACGGAAGAAAGGTGTCAAGAAAATAAAGCGCCTCCTCTTGACACCCTCGAGGATATGATTAGAGGTGCTACT